CTAATTTCAAAAAGCAGGAATCTCTATCTGAGTTTTGCTGTCATGGCTCCATCCGTCTTTATCCTGGCCATTGAAAAAGCAGTACTGGGATCCTTACAGCTGCAGGGGTGCAACTGAAAGTAGTGTCTCATGCACTGCTCTTTAAAAACCTAAGTCCAGCTTATGCCATAAGTGGTGACTGCATGAAGAAGAACTCATCACCAGAACTGATGTGAATATGTTTCCAAGGTGCGCTGTTATGGGGAGGTACGTTCCTCAGCTATCTCAGCCAACTAAGTCTCATAGAGCAAAACAGAAACTGCAAATGCAGTATGTCTAGTTGTCATGCTGGGTGGTAATTCTGACATGCTTGTAATAATAATGAACATTCCAAAAGAGTTTAGTCACAAAATATAAATGGAATTTTCAAAAAGGTGTCCCTTTGTGCTGTGGGCTTTGGAGGCGCTTTTATTTATATAAAAGGTTTCTTCAAGTCCAGTCTAAGTCCAAAACTGTTGTCTTAGAGATCTGTAAAGTGTAAGAAAACATGGGGCAATAAACCAAGCTACTTCTTCTCTTTAAGGTTTTTCCACCTGCTTTCAGAGAATTGCCTGCTCCACCTCTGGAACTGTTTGACTTGGATGAAACCTTTTCCTCTGAGAAAGCTCGTCTTGCAGAGATCACAAACAAATGTAAGTGGAGCAGACTGCTTGTTTACACATTTATATATAAAATCCAAATTTTTAGGGGAAATTTGTTGTTATATTTAATTTTAAAACATGGGCTTCGTTTTTGAAAATTCAGCGCTCTCATCTTGATCCAGGAAACTGGAAGCTCATGTCTATTGATAAGCTGCCTTTATGCACCATGACATTTTATTTTGTTTGTTACATGACATTCTATCTATGTTTCTGCCTGCTGTTTCCTACATTGTGTGTAAATTGCTTTGTGCACTCTCACTGATTAATTTCACATCTTTTTATGCTTTGAAGTGAAAATATTAATATTATTCTAAACACACTTAGGTCTAAAGAAGACGAGAAGGTGCCAGCTGCAGGAGGACATCACGGCTAGTCCACTGAGCTTAGTTATAGGACTCAACTTCCCTGAATGCCAACAACAAATGAAGATTTGTAGTAGTTTTTTTCTAGCTGATGCAGATATGTGTGATACTCACCTGCCTCCTTCCCTGGGTGCTTGTTTAGGTACTGATGATGACCTGGAATTCTACGTACGAAAATGTGGCGATATCCTGGGAGTAACAAGTAAACTCCCAAAGGAGAAACAAGATGCCAGATATATCCTGGAGCACATCTTCTTCCAAGTGGTTGAGTTTAAGAAACTGAATCAGGTATTTTTAATAACAGAATTAGAAGTGAGTAATTGGTAGTAGCAGCACTGAGGCTGGTGTGTCTTTGTAGCAGCTACACTTGTCGCAGGCAAGAAGCCTGGGATGTAAGACATTTGTTGTGCAATAAATTAGACCAGTGAAGTGTGATCCACAGTACTTACGATTTTTAATCTGTAGCGAATGTGTAGTGCTCCATTAAATAAGTTTTTATTTTAATTTGGGGATTAGTACATGCAAAGGTAGTTTTGGTAATTTCAGCTGAATCAAATTCATTAATAGTGCCTGAGTAAAAGCAGTGTGCCCTCAGGAGTGTTCACAGCTCTTGCCAGTTCTGCAGTGCGGAAGTAAAACCAGCATTGTTACTCAGGAGCAGTACTATGCTGAAATAATTCTTCATAGTAAATTTGGTGCTTTGAAGTCTGTTTGGAGCATATTAACAGATCAGTTGTTTGTGTTAACAAGTATTCCCTATTTTTCAAATATTCTAGTTAAGCCACAAAAAATCTGACAGTTCTACCCTATTGTTAAAATTCTTATTTTTCTTCCTGGTTTTTTTTTCCCTCCTCTTCTCTTACCTAAGGAACATGATATTGACACAAGTGAAGCTGGATTCCACAACGGCAACTGAGACCTGGCTTTCTCCAGTTTGACATCAGACTTTTGAGTGAAAATACACTTCTCTCTTTTTTTAAAACTCCTTTCCAGTATATTGATTGGGACTGACTCACTAGTTCACTGAATGCTTGGATTGTTTATGTGTGGTAGTTTGGATACTTAATGCCTTTTGGGAAAGTGCTTGTATTTCACAAGGACTTTCCAAATAATTTCTTATTTTTCTACTTTATTGAAACTGTAATTTTGTAATATATTTAAAAAAATATTATACAAAGAAAATGTGTTTGGGGTCCTTCTTTCTGGCTCTAGCATTTGTGTTCTTCTAAGGTTTACTGTGGGTTCTCCTGATATACAGAAAGCCCTTAATTGCACTCTGGGAAGAATTGTTATTTTGGTTTGGGAACTGGGAAAAAGAAAATAAAGTCATAAACACAGGAGCAGCTGAAACCATATATGTCACTCTGAGGCAGCCTGCTTTTGTCTCTATGCCAAAGTGAAACAAGGAGAGATGAGTTTGCTATTGTAGAATGAAAATATTTCTTTCAAGGGAGGGAAGAATTTGAAAGTAAGCAAAAATGACATTGTTGCACATTGCTGCCTTGTGTAAGACTGGAAATACATAATTTTGAAAAGAAAGGACAGCATGTGGGTGAAAAAGATTTTAGGATTGAATTGATCATTATTAACAAAATGTGATACTGTGCAGAAACTCAGGAATATTTTTACTTCCAGTTATTTGATATCTGGCCCATTCCCCAAGGTGATGAACTATGTAATGCACAAGGAGGGAAATTCAGATTAAACTCATTGACCGTGAAATGTTGAAGCTCAACGCACAGCAAAAATAGAGCCAAGAAGATCAGTGGGGAGAAGAAAAAATTTGTCAACATCATCAACACCACGTGTCTTTATTGCAAGACCTTTTTCTAATATCTATATGGTGAGATTGCACTTTAAATACAGCATTTTTTGGCTATCAGTATGACACTCGAATTGTTAAGTGAAAATTCTTCCCTCACTCAAGCCTTCCATGACACATGTGCTTTGTCTTGCTCTGCCATGTGTTTTAATATCAATGCTGCTTTTTGCAAAAGATCTGTTCATCTTTTACCCCCCAAAAAATCTTTTTATTTTACATTTCTTCATGCTTCACATGCCATCTTGGCACAGGGTTTTCTAAAGGAGGTGCCCTAAAGCCCCTGCCAAGTTTCTGGCCTAATTGACACGTGCTAATAAAATGTTAGAAGTTTTATCTCTTCCTATGCTGCAGACATTCTCTTTTCAGAGAAGTATGTTTGAAATTTTTCGTTTCTTCCTATATTTTCCTTATAGGCCATGGTTTTGTTTGTCACACAGAGCACTTTGCACATTCTAGCTACAGATTTACACAATAAGCTTAATCTCTCCTATGCAATATCAATACCAATCAGTCAGGCTGCCCAGGCTGCAGCTGAACCAACTCCCTGAGTGATCCTCTTGCTAATTATAGCTCTGGTCTGTGCTGTTCTGGGGCGTTTAAACTGTAAATAGTTTCTATTTCCCAGCTCTTTTTTGGAGTTGTTTTGTCACCTGTTTCTGATGTTGTAACATGGTTTAGAAAAAGGCCATGTAAGCAATCAGGGAATACAAGCAGCTCCCCGTTTGCCGTGTGTCTATGGGGCCTCTCTGACAGCTGAAGCACAGATTTTTCACCGAATGCATGTTTTTTTGGCTAGTGTGGAATACAGGTGGAGGCAGTAGCTTGCATCTCTCTTTCAAAGCTTGTCCCTTTGGCTCTAAGGAAGTATTTAAGCTTTTATTTTGTAAACAGACAGAAATACTTACTTTGGTCATGGGAGTGTGATACATAAAAAGTTTATGGCTGACTGACAGAATTTTGAATTATTACAGGTAGGTGACTGCTTTCAAGAGGTGAGGCAAGGCCACTGGCAGGCACACAGCCATGGAGTTTATGTATTAATGGAATTATTGCAATATTTCACAAAGGTTGGTTCCAAGCATCTGTTGCTGCTTTCCCTTTTTTTGTCTCTGTCCTCTCATGCAACTGACTCATCATCCCTTAATCTGTCCCTAAAAGAAGAAGGAGGGGGATAGATTGTTTCTGCAGCAAACCATGAATGTCCTGAAAAGTGGTTTTTAACAAGTCCTTCTCCCTGTTTTTGCTTTAAGCAGTGAGAGGAGAGGAAAAACAGGAGGGAGAGCAAGTGGTTATGTGAATGGGATGAGATCTAACAGGAGCACGTGAAAATCTGTAACAGAGGTGGGGGATGCCGTGGGGTGGGCTCGTTTCATGCACTCGGAGCAGAAAGTGAACATCAGAGAGGAAACCTTCACAGCGTGTTGGTAAGTGCCGGTGATGAGGATTAACATACTGCATAAGGCAGAGGCGGGTGACGGGGCGGGGGTGTCCGGGCCGGTCCCGCCCGTTCCGCGCTCCTAGGCTGTGCTTTCCCGGTGCGCCAGGAGAGGGATCCCCAGCCCCGGCCGCGTCTCCGTCCGCTCTCCCGGCGGCCCCGCAGCTATGGCCCAGCCGCCGGAGCCGTGTCCCGGAGCCTCTTCTCCACCGGGACCTGCCCAGGCCCGGCTGCCAGGTAACGGGGGCGGGTGAGGCGGGGATGGACGATCCCCCTCCCCCGGGCCGCGGGAAGGTCCCCGGAGGGGGCTGCGCTCGCGGAGGTTGTACAGGCGACCGGCCGCCGGTGCCGAGCGGGGCTCAGCAGCAAGCTGGGTGGGCAGTGAGCGCCAGAGGCCAACCACACAGAACAACATTCGTATCTTTATTGCGTCAGTACAAAAGACAGGGATAGGGGAGGACGGGGAGCCAGCGGCGCTGCTGCCATCAACCGCCCAAGCATCCCCAACAGCAGCGCCCCAAAGCCCCTCACCCCAGGAGGGCAGATTTAACCTTTCACCAGGTGCTGCCATCAGCGCAAGAGCCGATGGCTCCGGGCAGGGGAGGAGGGCTCGATCTCCGGTGCTGCAGTGCAGATTCGTGCCCTGCAGCAGGCACCCCGCGAGCCCAACGTGCTCTGGGCACAGAGCCAGGGCAGCAGCATCACTGAGCCTGGTGCAGAAACACGGAGACAGAGTCAGGATCGCTCGGCAGGGTCTCGGGTGTGGCAGACCCGTGCATCAGCATGGGGTGCTTCTTGAAGGCACCAGGCCAAGCCAGAGGAATCACTACAGATGTCCCCAGGGGTGGCGTGTCCTGTTTGGAGCATCCCAGTAATCTTAACTCCTCAGTGCTCAAATCAAGTGACAGGTTGGTGTCCAGAGGGGATTTTATTGATGAGATCTCCCACCTGGGTGCTGGCACATTCCCAAGGACAGAGATGTCTCCGAGGAGCTCGGAGCTCTTGGAGAGCAGGCTCTCAAGTGGTTTGGGGTGCTTGTCTTTCTTGCGAGGTGTTGAGGTGTTCTGTGATGCCGTGTCCATGAGGCAGCTTGGTCTGCTGGGGTGTTCACAAGGCAAACCAGACAGCTCTGAGGTGCCCTGGCCCTGGTGGGCCTTGCAGAGGCAGACAAGACTGAGGTCAGAGATGCCTTGGGTCAGGCTGTGCAGGTCAGTCTTCACACAACTGATCAGAAAATCCGATTGCTTGACAACACAGAGAGAACTGCCTTTTGCTGTGGTGTCCAAGTCCATGAGAAGCTCCCAGGTGTCTGATTTAGAGTCTATGCAATAACTCTGGACAGGAGAAGAATGGGTATGGCTGGAGGCCCTGGCCACAAAACCATTTTCTAGGATTTCCTTTACGGTCAAGATGCTGGAACCATGCCTCTGTGTGGACAGCATGGTGCAGAATCCCACCACCGCCAGGCTTATGGAGACCAGGATGTTCCTATCAGAATAAACACGTTACTGTTCAATATTGTTCACTAGTGAGTTGCAGACTTAGAGTAGCAAGACAGCTCTTGGCAAAATCCTGTCTTGGTCTTGCAAGGAGCTGCACTGGATCCAGGACAGGCATCCAGCCTGCCACTGTCTCCTAGAGCTGCCCAGAGGTCATCATGAAGCCTTCTTAGAGCTGCACTCGTTTGGCCTCAGCCTATCACTCTTAGCTTTGTGCTGAGAGACTCAGGAAACCTCTCCGTCTGTTAGCTGTACTAAGACAGAACTGGTTTTCCTGAGAAATAAGATATTTTATTCTCATTCCTTAGGTCAGTGAGCCATTAAGCTGCTAGACTTGAGCCTCTTTGAGAGGGAGGCACTAAAGCCAAGCTCTGGTTAGGATTGAAGAGGTTGAGGAGCACCTCTCATCTTTAGTCTCACATGCAGTAACCCTCCTCACCAGTTCAGCCAGCAGTTGACTTCCAGCTACCCCCAGAGGGAACAGGGTAGGTCGGGGAAGGAGAAGTCACTTATTATGGTCTGAAACCATTTTTATACTGAAAACATTAAAAACAGAGCTAAAAAGCTCCTGAATTTACTGTAAAATGGGACTGTATGGCCAGTCTAGAAGGAAAGTCTTCTTTAAGAGACTAAAATAACTTTTTTCTTAAAGATGATTTCAACAAATTAGCATGTGAGAAATAAGAAATAAAGGAGACAGTAAGAGGATAGACTAAAAAAACACTACTTACCTTCAGCTTCTATAGAGATCCCTTGAAGGGCTTGAGCCTTTTTTACCAGTGTTACTTACAGCAGTTTTATAGTTCTGGTAGTTAATTAACAGGGCCAGTTCGGGAGAGGGAGGGGTTTTTGTTTCCTTCTTTTTAAACACAGGACCAGTGACGTTGGGTCATGGGTGACTGCTGGAGGTACACTGGGGTCTGTAAGGGCTGGGTTGTGTTTGTACCCTGTCAGTGGGTAACTCTGGAGACCAAAGGGGTGTTTGCAGGATACATGGAGCCTTCCTACTTGGACCCAGTGCAGGGTCCCTAATAAGCTCTTTCAACTTTTGCCTTGTTTGTTGTGATATACTGGTCAGGAATATTCATGTGCACAGACTGAGCACAGATGCTTTAGATAGTGTATGTTGCAGCATTTGGACAAGGCCCTCAGGAACATGGTGGGATTACTGGTGCTGTTCTGTGCAGGGCCAGGAGTTGGACTTAGCTGATCCTGGTGGGTCCTTTCCAGCTCAGAATATTTGGTGATTCTGTAATGTGTGGGCACTGGCTGTAGGTGTGCTGTGTGCATAGCTGGGAGAGCAGCAGGAATTTGGTATGCAGGTGTAGAGCCCTAATGTGTTCCTGCCCTGCTGTCCCCCGGGCAGGAATTCAGTATGCAGTGTGACAGTGCTGCTGCCTGGCCAGGGGGCAAATCTGGGCTATTGCTCCCTGGCCCCTTTATTCCCTCCTGGGAAGCATCAGACCTGCACTCCCCAGGAGATTCCACCGTGCATGGGGGAGCCAGACACGCTGCAAGGGCAGCGTGGTGATTGAATTTAATTTTGTGAGTTTTTTGCCTGGCTGTGAAGGTCCCATGTCCCAGGGTTGGTGGGGTGTGAGGTGAGCACAGCGGGACTCTGGCAGCAGCCAGTTCCTTCCTGTAGCCAAGCACAGTCCTGGGGGCTCTTGGGGCACCCCCAACCACATGTAGCTGTGTCCTGTGGGAGTTCGTAGAATGTTAAGGGGTTAAAGGTCATCTAGTCCCAACCCCTCCTGCCTTGGGCAGGGACACCTCCCACTGGATCAAATTGCTCAAGGCCTTATCCAGCCTGGCCTTAATCACTTGCAGGAATGGGGCAGCCACAGTTTCTCTGAGAAACCTGTGCCAGGGCCTCACCCTCCCTCACAGAAAAGAATTTCTTCCTAATATCTAACCTAAATTTCTCCTCTTTCAATTTGTACCCATTCCCCCTTGTCCTGTCACTATGTTCCTAATGAGGGGTCCCTCTCCAGCCTCCCTGTAGGCCCCTTCACACACGAGAAGGTTGCTCTGAGGTCTCCACACAGCCTTCCCTTCTTCAGGCTGAACAGCCCCAACTTTCTCAGCCTGTTTCAGGTAGAGGTGATCGGGGGGGTCTGTGTGTGATCCTCTCGCCCCGCGCTCAGAGCTGCTGCTGCAGTGGGGGGAGACGGGGGAGGCGGATGCGGAGTGTCCCGGCGGTGGATGCGGGGAGTCTCAGTGTTCCCGGGTCAGTGCGGTGTTGGATGCGGAGGGGCTCCGGTGAGTGCGGGGATGGGTATAGGGGGTCCTGGGGGTCCCAGATCGGTGCGGGGTCGGTGCAGAGGTGGATGCCGATGGTGCCAGGTCAGTACCGGGGGTGGATGCCGGTGTTCCCGGGTGGATGCAATTCCTGGGGGCGGGGCGGGCGGGCGCCCTCCCGCGCGCGCCTCTTTGTGCGGGCGGGAGGCGCGAGGCGCATGCGCGGCCCGGCCCCGGGCTGGGGGGGGCGCCGTTGGCGCGAGATAGGAAAGTGCCGCCGGTGCCGCGCTCCGGCTCCGCTCCCGACCTCGGCCCGGCCCCGCCATGGCCCGCCGCACCCGCGGGTGAGTGAGCGCGGCCCCCGCCGTGCCTGGACTCCCTGTGCCGGCTCTGCGGAACACTCTGCAGGCTCCTCCCGGCCGCCCCGCTCCCGGCCGGACAGCGGGATGCGAGATGCGCGCAGGGCGGCGGCTCCGCACTCCGGGGTCCCCGCGCTGAACGGTCCCAGCGGCTCCACCCGGGCCTGGGTTTGCCCTCTCGGAGCCCCTGGGCTGCTACCCCGCACCGCCCGGCCAGCGCTGCCCACTCCCTTCGTTCCAGCGATCCCGGGGGTGGGGAACTGGAATGGGGGAATGGTGCCAGACCCCCCAGATGCAAAGTCCTCCCCGAGGGACAGAAGGAACAGAAATGAAGAGAAACGCTCCTTCCCCTGCTCTGGGCAGCATAAAAGTTACTAGCAGCCACCAGAGCCCAAAGCTGAGGGTCTCCTTTAAACCTGGGGTGTCTGGATGGATGCTGGGGCTCAGTGCTGGAAGGGACAGATCTGGAGTTCTACTCTGCATGGTGTGGCTTACTCCCTCTCCTGCGTTTTCATCAGAGCTTGAAGCTATAATCTTCATTTATTTATTCCTAGTGAGGACCAGGATGAACTGCGCTACCAGGATACCGAATTGGATGTGCCAGAGCAGCGGGATAGCAGGTGCAAAGTCAAGTGGACCCAAGAAGAGGTGAGTGAGAGCCCAAAATTTGCCGAGAGAGGTGTTTTGGGGTGGGCATCTGGCCTGGCACTCTGGGCTTCAGTGACTCCACCCCAGTCCTGCTGGCCATGACTCCACCTCTTGCTGTCTTGCTACTGGAGAAGACCATGTGTCTTTTATTCTGATCTGAGGTCTGAATGAGGCTCAGAGCTCAGGGGAGTTTGAAGTGCAGCCTGAAGAGCAAGAGCTTCAACCTCTTTAGCTTAAGCACGAGTCCTCAGCAAGGCATCCAGTGCCTGCAGCACTCATGTGAGCAAAGAAGGATTCCTGAGGATGGATGAGGCCTCCAACAAGCTGAATTGTGCAGTGAAAGTGCACTCCACTTTCGCCTTTTCTCTAGCAAAAGCAGGGAGTATTGAAGCTGTTAAAATCATGGCTTAGTCGTCCTGGCTAAGAGCCTGAAATTAGTTGGGATATTCACTTCCCTCCTCCTAGTTCCTTCATCATTTTTGTTCTCTGTGAAAACTACAAGATGTCCTGTTTCCCTGGGGTTTGGACACGGAGTAAGGTGATCTTTGTGGAGACCACAAAGTCCTGACCTCATGTTGGGCAGGGAATAATTTCATGCCTCTGTTTGCCCATCCAGAGCTCACAGGCAAGGACCCCTATAACAGGCTTTCTCTGAGCTGTATGAGGAGCCCCTGGTGGTCTAGTGGTTAAGGGCGCGGTGCTGTCACCGCCGAGGCCCGGGTTCGATTCCCGGTCAGGGACACTCCCCGGGCAGATGGAGCTCGTTAGGCCTTAAAGGCAACCCATCTACATCCTGAGGACCTCGCTGCCACCGTCCAAGCTCGCTTGGCCCCGGCAGGTGAACCTTAGGATTAAAGGGTGGGCTCAGTTCCGCGCACACTGTGTCTCACCTAAAAAATCCAATGCGCAGGCTGGAAGGTGCAAAGACCTTCCCCGGATCTTCGCTCGCGAAGACTGGCCATTATTATGAGTACACACACCCAGGCTATAGCAGGGATCAGGAAAGAGATGCTGTAAAGCCCTGTAGCACTGAAAGACAGAAGACCACCAGGCTAGTGATGATACACTTGAACCAATCAGCTTTCCTGGCCAGGCAAAACCAGTGGTTGGGCTGGGAGATGGTCTGTCTGGTCAGGGGTGCACTGGGACTGGATAAACAGGCCCTTGGCCGCAGGATTAGAACCAGATTGTACTGGAACAGAGCTGAGCTCTTATTTTGTCCTCAGTGTATGAGCTTGTCCTAGTACAGAGCCCAGAACTAAACAATCTATTCCAGTTGGGCTCCATGTACTGGAGTGCTCTTTGTTAGAGGTTGGTGTGAGCTACCTTCCTCCCCTGAACACAGAATGCCAACAAAACCTTCTTGGCTGTTCAGAATATCTAGCTTGTTCTGTTGATGCCATCAGCCATGGGGTGCCTCTTGCATCTGTTGCCTCAGTATATCTGAAAGTGGGTGTCTTTGTTCTTTGCAGGATGAGCAGCTGAAGATGTTAGTAAGCCACTATGGGCAGAATGACTGGAAATTCCTGGCTAGTCACTTTCCTGTAAGTGACCCCTTGCCCAGCTGGGAAGCAAAGAGTTTGCATGTTGCTTCTTCTCCTTGTGCTGATTCTCTGTGTCTGTGCAGTGGGACTGTTCTGTGACAGCTTCAGGCTGTGAAATGGGGCTGCTTCGGGGCAGGGAGACACTGTACAG